GTTGGTATTTCATTTGTGGCACCTCCGATGAGAGATGAATATGTAGAGGATTTGAGTTGTTGAAAGACTTCACAGTGCGAAGTTTGAGAGTATCGAATGGACAACCTACGCATGATGTTACTGTTCACCATGGGTGTTACTATGAGAGCTATTTGACGAGCGGGGTGAAAAAAAAAATCAGAATATATCTGAAGAAAACCCCATTTAAACCAAAAATTAGGCTAGTGCTATGTACTCAAATACGAGAAAATTCCTTCGTGACTGTCGTCTCGACAGGCTATAAATTCTCTAAAACAAATAAGCAATGACTATCATCCCGACAGGTCATCAAATCATAGCTTCTAAGCAGACTGTCAATAGAGATGGGACAGTTTGAAATTTTTACCTAATTTGGATTCGGGAGTTGACACATCAATGTTCCAACCCCAATTTGTTTCTTTTTGCATATTCCAAATTTCAAACTCTACGAAACAAACGTGGCGCATCACTAGACAATAAAATTTTTTTTTTTTTGTGATTCGCACTCTAGCCAACGCTGCATAAGGGAATCTACTAAATTCGAGCTTGGTCCAATCCGGATAAATCCGTCATCGTTTATCCATATCTGATTTATTCAGATATCCGTTTACTATTGATATCCAGATAATCTGACAGATATTCGGATAATTATCCGGATATCAATAGTAAATGGATAGTAAATAGATATCGATATCCGAATAAATTCAGATCCGGATATCTGATAATTATCCGAATAAACGCCAACTGGATTGGAACTCTACCCAGAAAAAAACCTTATCTAGGAAAAAAAAACCATTCACCTTAAATACTGCTAACGATTACTAATCGAAATCATACGACAATCATCAAACGAAAATCATACGATAAAATCACGAAAATGCATCAACCGATCAATTAATATACATTCATGATCTACTCGAGATAAATGCTGCTCCGACACTTTCGTATCGAGCAGCTAATAAAAAACCACTGAACCAAATTTTATGTTTGTAGAAGAGTCCAATCCATTAAGCATTTATCTGGATATCTGAATCTGAATTTATTCAGATATTGATATCCGGATAATTATCCGAATGGCTGTCAGATTATCCGGATAACTAGCGATTTGAATTATCGATAATTAGATACGGATAATTTGTAGAATTAATATATAAAAAAAAAAAAAAAAATGCTGAGCCATGAGATGTCAGGTCATGAGATTTACATATACTTCATTTGGCGCCTTCAATGTCTTAAAAATTTTTTTTTGATTATAGAATAGGTCTAACCCTAATTATATATGTCTTATTTTATGTGCTATTTTTCGGATTTTGATTTAGCTGTTCGGATGCTTCTTAAGTCACATGACCGATATCTCGTCTTTGCCACGGTTAGGGTATTCGTCAACAATATAAAAATTTGCTAAAAGCTTCTAAATAATGGTAATATATAGTAGTAAGTAAAAATTTGCTGCGCCATTTAGAAACATTCTATTTGCTTCTAGTGATCTTCCAGTTCTAGTAATTGTCACTAAAACCTTCTAATAAGCAACACTAAAATTAAAGTAATATATATATATATATGTATATAGTTAATTATTCTTCTAGTAAATAATGAATCAGCGAAAAAAGAATTCTTGTAAAATTTTTAATATTGATTTATAAGCTATAAATATACGTATATACGTATAGTTTTATCTAAAGCTTTAATCTAATCTAACTTTAATTTTTAATTCTGTAATTTATAAATTAGATTCATATTTTATATATATGCTGTATATACATATACTGTATATATATCTGATATATATAGTGTATTAAGAAATTGTTTTTCTTGATACGTACGTATAGCATACTTATCTATAATACTTTATGTATTGTAAAACCTTGAAATAATACGTATCTAGAGATGCAATTTCAAATTTTTGGCTTAATTGAGCCATAATTCAAAATAACATGCTTGTAAGAGATTTCATGATACGTAATGTATGTACGTACGTACTACGTTTCTGATCTTACTAATTCTGGTAGATGTTCAGGATTGACGTTCCAACATCCACTCGGATTGCTGGATTGACGCAACATGTTTGGTTACTCCTGTATTCTAAAGCGTCATGTCGATTAAATCATCAGTATTATAAGTCAACGAAGCAATGCTTATCTGTACGTTTTGCATGGGGATTACTATGAAGAATTATCACTATACGTAGAAAAGATAATGGTATCAGGGTTTAGATAAAATGACTGTATAATGCCTAATTTGCCAAGATGATTTACGCAATGTACGAAATATTTGAAAATAGTTTAATTAAATGAAAAAGGTAATTGAATAATGATAACGCTAAGAATATCTTTGCCGGGCGTTACTTTGGGGCGTTATTTTTTTGGTGATGCTATAAACATTTCTGGATACATGTAAAGTTTTGTCTACACTGCAAGTATCTGTAGCCTTACGTATATACATAGTACAAAAACTTACTGTACTACATACTGTACCACAGGAATGTATTTACGTATTTGGGGAATGCTCCGTAAAATTTTAACTGTAGTATTAAAAGATCACGGAATAATGTGAACATAAATTATGATTGTCGATTACGGAGGTCCCGAATCACAACTTGTTAGGTTACCAACGTCAATTCTGACTTAATTAAGTATATTGATTATTGAAGTAAATGGACCCATTTTGGCTTGTTATTTAGATGTGATTGAACCATGATAATTCACGGATTTTCAATGAATAAAAAAAAATGATTCCTTTTGAAGTGAAATCTTTTTACTGTATATAACAATATCGATTAATATCGATATGGAGGTGGTTTAACCATCGATCTTCATTTCCAAATTAATTTTATAAAGTGTTAGATACCCTTCATTTTACGTACGACTATAGGTATCTGCACATATATAATCATATTTTTGAAAGACTTTCCGATGATACGGATAAAATTAATTACCCGTGTTTTATTGCCTAAAGCTTATATTAATACTAACTTATGGTTAATCTTCGCGTCCTTGTGATAAAATTAATAAAATTAATAAAATTAAAATGATTAATAAAATAACGAATTGAACCAATAAGAATTAGTTATCTCAAGACGTGATAAAAACTTAGTTATCAGATATGAAATCGTTACAGTTTACAGTTATAGTAAGTTTAATAAAAATTTGACGACTAATTCTGTAGATTATTCATATGAACTTTAAGTGATTCTTTAATAAAGATAAGAATAAGTAATTTTTGTATTATGTAAATTTCTAATATTTGTTGTACAAGATATGAGAGGACGGTTTAGTTTCTGACATCTATAATTCCACATACCAGGTATGGGTACTGTACTTGATATCTGAGAAGATAACAGAAGATAACGATAAGTTTAAGACTCTGATGCAATAGTCAAATGAAACTCATAAAATGCCGCCCCTTTAAAAAAAAATCGGTCATTGTTGCATCATAATTTGTTAAAAAGCATTTTTTATTTTTTATTTTTTTATTCAACTATAATTATAAATATATATATATATATATATATATATATATATGTGTGTGTGTACATCGAACGAATTTGTTAAAAAAAAAGTTGGTACTATTTAAATATGCCTTCTTCGCAATTTATTAAATCTTCCGTCGCTACGATTTCCAATGGAGCTGATAACTCAACAGATTCAAAATATTCCCGGGTCCTTAACATGACCCACTTGATCCCTTACGAAGTTTATATGTCAGAACCTCCAAAACCAGCCGAGGATGGTACTATCACATATAATTGGGCTTTAAGACATCGAAGGGGTCACTCGGCCCTTTACGCTGGAATTCGTTCTTTAAATAATGAGTGGGATAGCTATTACGTTGGTTTCGTAGGCCAAATTTTTGATGCTGAAGACAAACCAATCGAGAGTTGTACCTTTACCGAGGAGTTTAAGAAATCGATAGAGTGCTTTTTATTGGAAAAAAAAGTTGTGCCGGTGTTTCTTGAGGATGAACAACATCACGGCCATTATGAGGGTTTTTGTAAAACTGGTACGTGATGCGCATACGCGCGTTGATTTTACCAATTATCCTGCCGATTTTACGTTTCTGATTGTCGTGTCATAGTATTATGGCCGTTATTTCATTACATTTTGTGGGATACCGTGACGGATGGTCGTCAGGAAAATCAAAATTGGCAACTATATCGTGCCGTGAATCAAGCATTTACCGACAAAATTAAAGAGATTTATCGCCCTGATGATTTAGGTATATATTATATATATTGGTATATTTGTCATATTATTATTATCGTTAAATATATTGTTAAATTCATTTATTTAAATATTTATAGTTTGGATTCATGATTATCATCTTTTGATGGTACCTCGTATGTTACGTGATGTGCTTCCTGATGCTGTTATTGGCCTCTTCATTCATGCTCCTTTTCCAAGTTCTGAAATCTTTAGGTGTTTACCTCGTATGTTTTTTTTTTTTTTCCTATTTATGTTCATCTTTTCATATGATCTTGCTTTTTCAATTATTCAATTATTTTCATTAATACAAAGAAAGGAAGGAGGTATTAGATGGTATGCTAGGTGCTAACCAGATTGGTTTTCAGGTATTGTTTAACTGATTCATTCTTTTTATATTTAATTTTTCATTATAATACTCAAAACTTTTTTTTTTAAGACATATTCTTATGCGAGACATTTTATAAGCAATTGTACGCGTATCCTTGGCTATGAATCTACTCCAAGTGGTGTCGATGCCAAAGGTTCAATAGTATCTGTTGGTCCTTTTCCAATCGGTATCGATGCTGAAAGAGTTGAAGAACAAAGAAAAAGTCCTGAAGTTGCTAAAAAAATGGATTCCCTCAAGGAAATGCACGCCGGAAAAAGAATTATTGTTGGTAGAGATAAACTTGATTTAGTTAAAGGTGTAATTCAAAAACTACATGCTTTTGAAAAATTCTTATCAGAGTATCCAGAATGGCAAAATAAGGTCATTATCTTAACTAATTATCAATCTAATTTTTTTTTTATCTATATTTTTTTTAACTACTCTTTTTTATTATATATATATATTTATTAATTCAGGTCGTTCTAATTCAAGTTACTTCACCTGCTCTTACTGAATCTCCGAAACTTGAGCGCCGAGTTGCCGAGCTTATTGCTCATATAAATGGCACTTATGGTTCGCTCGAATATACTCCTGTTCATCATCTTCATAGTCAAATTGAACAAGATGAATATTTCGCCCTTTTAAGCATTGCTGACATAGGCTTGATTACATCTGTTCGTGATGGTATGAATACTACTTCTTTAGAGTATGTCATGTGTCAACAAGAAAATTATGGCCCACTCATTTTGAGTGAATTTACTGGAATGGCCGGTTCTTTGGGTGCTGCTATTATGGTAAACCCTTGGGACTATAGTGGTGTAGCTAAAGCCATAAATGATGCTCTTAATTTGAGCTATGAAGAAAGACAAAACAAACATATGGTACTGTATATGTATATATTTTTAACTTAGTTTCCTTCAAAATTATTTTCAAAATTATTTCAAATAATAATATATATTTATTCTTTCTTTCTTATAGCAATTATACAGACACGTGACTGTGCATACTGCTCAATACTGGGCAAAGACTTTTATTAAAGAACTTGTTATTAGTTTAAGTAATAGTAATCAAACAAATACTACCCCTTATCTTGACATGCAAAATTTATTGACAAAATATAAAAAGTCTAAAAACCGTTTATTGTTATTCGATTATGATGTACGTTTTATTATTTTTCTATTATCTGTTTAATAATGCTGTTATCTGAACTTATAATCATTCGATCTATTACTAAAGGGTACGCTCACACCAATTGTAAAAACGCCGAGTCAAGCAATACCTCCTCCAGAGATGCTCGAGAATTTACAAAAACTCGCAAATGATCCAAAGAATACTGTATGGATAGTATCTGGACGTGATCAGGATATATTGGAGGAGTGGCTTGGGGGTATTAAGAAACTTGGTTTCAGGTGCGTAACCTTTTGATCTGTGAATAATTAATAATAAAAGTTTAATGTGTTTTGTTAAATGAATTTTATAGTGCTGAGCACGGTTGTTTCCTTAAATATCCTGAAAGCGATAAATGGATCAATCTTACTGAAGATATTGATATGAGTTGGAAGACTGATGTTGATGAGATTTTTACTTATTTCACAGAACGTACACAGGGTTCATCTATTGAACGTAAACGTTCTTCAATTACATGGCACTATCGTCAGGCAGATCCAGAATATGGGTAATTTTATATCACTAGTTTATATAAATTAAATTAGTATAATTACTGATTAAAATGTTTTAATTGATC